GTGACGTCCAAAGAGGTCTTGAGCACTATAAATACATGTCTTAGGAACCCTAAACGAGGAGAACAGATCACCACCGAAATATTTACTTCATACTTTTATTGTTTTTGCTTTAGGTTTTAGGGAGAGAGAGATTTGTTCTCTTGAACCCTTGTTCTTTCTTTTTCAATTTCGGTTTCTATTCTACTTCTTAATATTATGTCTTTGATTTCGTTCATTATGTCTGAGTAGTTTTATTGTTGGGATTAAGGGATTTTCGATGGGGATTTATATGTTCGATGAGGATTCCATGAGCTTTTGAGCCGAATCTTAGAGCCTTTTCTTCTGAATTCGTTTTTACTGCATGAAGGTAGCGTCATGAACTACAGTCTGATCCAGATGCTTGGTGACACGAAAGTGTTCATCAGGTATCAGATCTAGTTTGGGAGAGCAAAACAAACATAGGAGTGGAAACCTACATATGGGCGATTTGTGAATTAGGACGAGTCTTAAACATAATGCATCTCTTCTCTTCCAGGGCCAGAGTGGAAACCTACAGGTCAGGGTTGAGAGAGATAGTTGTCTATGATCACGACATTGGCGTATTCATACGTCCGCGACTCCAGTTCAAAAAATTTAAGCTAAGATCTTATCAAATTTACTCTCTAGCAATGTTTTGAATCGTTCGTACCCCTGAGAAAACTTCCCTGAACCCCAACGCTTTCTTCCTTATTGATTTACACCGTTTTTCTTTAAAGCTTTAGTTCAATATTGTCTTTCCTTTTTAGTTCATTTTCATTTAAGCATTAGAATATCCGTTTTTATCATTTTTAGTCATTTTCATTAAGTTTAGTTGTTACGTCATTTAATTCTCGTTTTCTCTTTTAATATTTCGTTTTTAGATTTTAAACACACTACCAAACCCCTACAAAACCGTTTTTGTTCTAGACTTCCTTACTTTAACTTATTTCAAAGGCTTTTTGCAGGACAAGATCCTCCTTCCCTGTGGATTCGATCCCTAAGTACTACAATCGATCAGCTGTGCACTTGCGGCTATTGATTTCAATTAGGGTAAAACTTGACAACCCTCGACACACACAACACACACAAAATCACTTTGGAGGCATAGACAAGACGTTTCTTTGGAGTGTTTTAGGCGCTGCTTTGAGATCTAAAGGTGAAGTAGTCCTAAATGTAGCATCAAGTGGAATTGCTTCATTGCTATTACAAGGGGGTAGGACAGCCCATTCTAGGTTTGGAATTCCCATAAATGTCTATGACAGCACAACATGTTCGATGAAATCTGGTACACATTTAGCAGAGTTGATCAAGGAAACAAAGCTAAAAGTTTGGGATGAAGCTCCAATGATGAGTAAACACTGCTTCGAGACACTCGACAGGAGCATGCAAGACATAATGAAATCTGAAGAACTTTTTGGAGGCAAAGTCATTGTTTTTGGGGGAGATTTTCGTCAGGTTCTACTGGTAATACCAGATGCCTGCAGAAATATAACAGTAATGGCTGCTTTGAATGCATAAAAGCTTTGGAAAAAAATGTAAGGTTCTACGGCTAACCAAAAACATGCGACTGCACACCGGTCTAAGTGAGAGTGTACAAATGATATAAGCTCTTTTTCAAAATGGATTTTGGAAATCGGAGAAGGAAAAATAAATGAGCCTAATGATGGAGAAACTGAGATAGAGATTCCAGAAAACTTATTAATTAAAGACTGTGATGATCCAGTAAAAACTATAGTAAGGGAAATATATGGAGAATCCTTTGCTAATAGAGATGACCCCAAGTTTTTCAAAGAACGAGCTATTTTGGCCCCAACAAATCTGGATGTCGAGAGAATTAATGAGTATATGCTTACACAATTAAAAAGTATTATTTCTCTAACAATATAATATATGTTAAAACGTCTTCTTTTTAAAATTTTGAATATCTCATAACTCTCTAATTGTATAATTCTATAGGTGAGGAAAGAGTTTATTTGAGCACTGATAGTATCGACCCACCGGAAAAAGTGGTGATTCCAGAAGATGATATAGATACTTTGGACACAGATTTTCCAAAAGATATTGTCTACACACAAGAGTTCCTTAACAACATCAAAATTTCAGACTTGTCTAATCATAGACTGCTTTTGAAGATCGGAGCTCCTATTATCTTGCTTAGAAACATTGACCCAAAAGGAGGATTATGCAATGGGACCCGGCTTATTGTTACTCAGTTAGCAAATCATGTTATCGAGGCAAGAGTGATAACAGGAAAATCAAACAGTGATGAAGACGAAAAGGTTTTAATCCCAAGAATGTTTGTTACTCCAGCCGATGCAAGATTCCCTTTCAAGATGCGCAGAAGATAATTTTCAGTATCGCTTGCTTTTGCAATGATGATAAACAAAAGTCAAGGTCAGACGTTGGAGAAGGTAGGATTGTATTTGCCAAAACCAGTTTTCTCACATGGTCAACTTTATGTTGCACTTTCAAGAGTCCCAACGAAAAAGGGATTAAAAATATTGATTACTGACAACAAAGGAGCACCGCAGAAAACCACAAAGAATATCGTCTACAAATAGATTTTTGCCAACATATAGACTCTGTTTTCTTCAAAATTACTCTGTTTTAGTTTAATCTTTTGTTTAAGGTGCTTAACTTCATTATTATTTAGGAGTGCTACACTATATATTATCTTTCATTTGATTAAAAATAGCTAACAAGAAAAAAACTAAGTTCAAATTCCTAACATTAGTCGACAAGTTAACTAGTTGAACAAGTTATATATAGTATTTTTCTTAAGGTTCCTAATGAAGCTATAAATACAAAACTAAGTTCGAAAAGAAAAAGTAGACGAAAAGGAAAACACTTAAAAAAATATTGTTTCCGGTTTCCGGTCATTGCTGTCCAATAAAAATATTATTATTAGGAATTTCAATTTAAATTCATCTGCATAGGAATTCAGGTTTTTTAAAAGATAAAAAGATATATTATAGGCACTCAAAAAGGGAAAATGTGTAATAAACCATATCTATTTAACTGTTTCAAATTTTAATATTTTTTTTATTTATCTTTAAATAAATCAAAACTGATTGTTTTTCTTTTTTAATTATGAAGTCTTAAAATAATAAAGTTTATCAATAAAAGAAAACAATTAGCATGTACAATAAAAGAAAATTAACAATATTTTTAAAAGAAAAATAAAAATAAAAATTGAACATTAATATCTATAGCTCTGTTTTCAGTGGCCGAAGGAAGATTCTATAGCTTACATCATGCTAAAACCGAAAACATTTTTATTTGTTGCCATCTGAAAAAGTTTCATTACCAAAAGCTCAAAACTGAAACAAAACCAAAGGTTTTCACACCAAAGAAAGTGTCAAAGAGTAAGAAAACAGAATAGCAAACAATTAGGAAAAAAAACAAAAAACAGAGTATCAAGAGTCCTAATGAAAACGAAAACATTTTTGTAGAGATAATATATTTTTTTTATAAACCCTATCGGTTGATCCGGTCAACCCGTTAGAAACGCATCGAAGTGCTACAGAGTGGACTAATTATTTAGGTTTAACAGCTCAACGACATCATGAGTTTCGAGCATACTTGGGTCAACAAGTGATGAGATCTATGAGATCCAGTGGATTACCATACTGTCAATCTCAGAATTTGAAATTCTTTTCGACTAATGTTAGGAATAGCTAGATCGTTTATTACTAACTATCATGTAAACTGTTTAAGCTTTAGGTTCAACCCCACACTTCCCACATAATTATGTTTTCTTTTTTAAGATAGATCAAACTGGATAAAATGGTGTAACACTCCATACGATCATGCGGGTGAGATAATAGATTTAAATCAACACAACTGATAAATGGTAGTTATCAAATGAGTAACATGTATATTTAGATCTCCATTCAAGATTTGTTGTCTATATTAAAAGTTTTATTAACAAGTTTTCTTTTAATTTTTCTGTTAACAAGTAATCTATCGACAAATGAAGATATAAATAGAAGAATATAGCTATCTACTCCTCTGTACACGACAAGAAACGAAACCCTAAGAAGAGAGATATATTAATTATATTAGGATGGAAATACTTTTTTCTTGATATTGAGATCATGTTTGTTTGCTCATTTGTTATTGATTTATTTAAATAATTCTTCTGGATAATTCATCAGAGACAAATCACAGGTGTTATTATATCCTTTGGAAAAGGCCACAAGACGCCTGAAAGAAAAAGAAAAAAAAACAATGGATGTCTCACATAAAGTCTAAAGCTTGAAGGAACCAAAACAAGTGGTCTTCTTACATTTGCAGCCACCAGCGATGAATTCATCAGAGTAGATTACATCAGATTCCAAAGAGAAGAAATTCTTAATCACCCAAGTGAACTTCTTTTCGTCAATTTGCTTCGGCATCGAAAAAGAGTCCTCGCAACCGAACCCTAGAGAGCCAGTGGCATACACCAAATTTTCATTTTGGTCCAATTTTTGCTTTGTCTCGTACATGAAAGTGACCTTGACCTTTGCCAATAGGCCTGAACAATCAGTTTAATATGGTAATTTGGTTCGGTTCGTTTGGCAAAAGTAATGTTGAAATAAACCGGGTTGACGATCTATTTTCCCATGGGAACTATCATATAGTACCAGATCCACACGGAACTATGACCTCGTTCTATATATCCATCATTTGAAAGTTAAAGATCTATATCCACACGAAGCAAAAGTTTGAATCCTATTTCCACACGGTTTAAAAGTTCGAAATCCCAAACCCCATTAAGCTCGGTTATAGGTGGTTTACTGTTTCCTAACAATCCTAAACCTTGTATAAACCAATAACGATCCGGATTATGACCTGATTAGCAATAATAAACCGAAAAAACGATTAAACCCAAATACACCTAAAAACCCACGATTCCCAACCCTAACACTAAAATCCCCAAATTAGAAAAATCCCCAAATCGTAGAACCCTAGAAATCAAATTCGAAAATTAAAGGTGAAGGAAGAGGTTGAAGTCGATTTTGATGGCGTTAGTCATCCGTCGTCAGCTTGGCGAAGACTATTTCGATGAAGAAGAAGTGGAGCAAGATGCAACTGAAGTCGAGAAAATGATTGAAGAATTTGTGGATGAGCCTCTAATTTGTCACGATGATATTCCAGAGAGTGATGACGAGGAAGAGGCAGCTCCGAGGAGGCCGAGACGGCGAACCTACTACATCCGTGGTAATGGGAGATTGTATCTCGATCAGACAGATTTCAAGGAGAATATCCTCGACTATGTGCTGAGAACTGGACGTAATTTGTCGCAGACAAGGTATGATAAGACTAACATATCATTTAAGTCTATTGGTGGTGATAAAGAAAGTGGAGGTTGTAAATGGCGAGTCTATGCTTCTACTCTTCCAAATGATGATGTGTGGAAGATTAGGATTTTTGTAGATGAGCATTCATGTACACCTAATGGAGATGTTGACATGTTAAAGGTTCCACAAATCGCTAGGTTGTTTCTTGATAAAATTAGAGAGGAACCTAAGTACTATATGCCTATGAATATTGAAGAAAAGATTAGGGAGGAGTGGGGAATTACTGTATCAAGGCCACAATGTCAAGCAGCTAGGAATAAGGCATTGAGGTGGATCGAGTGTGAGTATGATCGCTAGTTTGCCCGTCTCCGAGACTATGCGGCTGAGTTGCGTCTCTCAAATGAGCATTCTTATGTGGTTGTTGAAACTCTGACAAATGAAAAAGGTGAAGACGAGTTTAACAGGTTCTACGTGTGCTTTGAAACCCTCAGAAAAACTTGGAAAGCTACATGTAGGCCACTTATAGGAGTTGACGGCTGCTTCTTGAAGCACAAAATCAAGAGACGGTTATTGGTAGCATTAGGAAGAGATGCAGATAACGCCATATACCCAATAGCTTGGAGTGTTGTCCAAGCTGAAAACACTGAGAATTGGGTATGGTTTGTGAGGAAGTTGAAGCACAAGTTGGAGCTGAATGATGGTGATGGTTTTATTTTGGTTTCTGATTGTCAAAAGGTAATGTGTTTATGTGTTTGTGTGTTTACTAAGTACTGTATATGATGATAGTAGGGACTAATCTATTGTTGAATTGTTCATGTGTTTCAGGGACTGATCGCAGCTGCTCAGATGGAGTTGCCAAAGATCGAGTATAGAATGTGTGTCAGACACATCTATAAAAATCTGAAGAAGAAACATGCTTCTAAAAAATATATGAAGAAATACATATGGAATCTGGCCTGGAGTTACAATGAGGCTGAGTATAATCAGCGTTTGGATGAGATATTCAATTATGATGTTGGTGTTTTCAATGACGTGATGAAGATGAAGCCTAGGACTTGGTGCAGATTTATCTACAAGATGGGAAACTATTGTGAAGATGTTGAAAATAACTCCACATAGTTTTTTAATAGCACTATCGAGAAGGCAAGGTGGCTGTCATTCGTGCCTATGCTGGAAACTATAAGAAGGCAAGCTATGGAACGTACAGCCAAAAGATCTGCCAAATCTCATGCTCACACTGGTAAGTGTATTTGTGTGGTTGTTATACATGGTTTATTCTGTGCTTTAATTTTTTTGTTTGTGCTTGTCATTTCAGGGATATGCATTATTTATGTTACTAAGTTCCTTGCGAAGGAGTATAAGGTGGCTTCTCTTTGCAAAGTTAATAGAAGCACAAATGGAGACTATGAAGCAAGGGGTTTAGGAGGTTGTACTTACCGAGTGAACTTGGAGAAGAGGACTTGCACTTGCGTGAAGTTTCAAATTTGTGACATTCCATGTGAGCATGCATATGGAGTGATTCTGACTAAAAAACTCATCCCTGAAGACTTCGTTTACTACTAGTTCCACACTGCTATATGGAGGAGAAATTATGTGGATGGACTTGTACCTGCTAGAGGAGCACCATTTTGGCCTACGAGTAATGCTCCGGATGTCCACATTCCTCCTGAACCACCACAGCCAGGTAGAAAGAAGGTCACCAATGCAGACAAAAGAGGAAGAAAGGCGTGAATGAGTCTTCAACCAAAAAGCAACCACCAAACAAAAAAAGAATCATGCATTGTGGTATATGTGGCACAGCTAACCACAACTCTAGATGGCATAACAAGGTTTGTATTTTCTCCTTTGTAATTCTCGGGTTTGTGTTTTATGGTGTCTCCTAATGTGTTTCTCTGTTTTTTTGCAGGATAAGGGTAATGGAAATGCTTCAGCTATTCAAGCTTCGGCTGGTGAAGCTTCAACTCCAAACCCTACGGCTATTCAAGCTTCAGCTTCGGCTCCAACACCTGCGATGAAGACAGATCCATCGCCTGCTTCAGCTTCGGCTCCAACACCTGCGAAGAAGACAGATCCTTCGCCTGCCCAGAAGACAGCTCCATTGCCTGCAAAGAAGACACATCCATCTCATGCGAAGAAGAAGTCACCTGCAAAGAATATAGCTCTATCTCATGCAAAGAAGAATTCACCTGCTCCTCCACCGAAGACAGCTCCTGCTCCACCGAAGAAATCACCTGTGAAGAAGAAAGCTTCTCAGGATCAGGCTTTTGCATCCTCTCAAGGTCAGCCTTCTGCTTCTTCTCAGGGTCAGTTTTCTGCTTCTCAAGGTCAGTCCCAGGGTTCTCAAGCTTCGCAGGGTAAACCTATTAAAGGTGTTCGGAGTAAACTCTTCACATGGATAATATGACCCGAAGAGTAATACCGAAGATGGGTCTGTTTTTTATGTTATCTTGTCAGTTTTCTAATGTTTTAGGTGGGTCCGAGATTGATGCTTTTGGGAAAGTAATGTTGGATTGTTGCTTTTGTTTTGGAATATGAGTGTATGCTCATTACTTTTGGACCACTTGTTTTTTGTTTTGTAATGGATTTTTATTGCTTTAATCTTGTTCTTGTCATTGACTAGATGCAAAAGAAAAGACATAAGGCACAAGATTCAAATTGCCAAAACTCATTTCATTGAACACAAAGTTATTTGGCACTACAACATTAAAAGACAACAAGATGACACAATAATCCCACTAACAAGACAATAAGATGACACAAAACATACAACATTCAAGACTAAACGACCCAACAAGTGATAGAATCCCCTACCAACATCACCTTCTTCATATTCTTCACCTAAGAAGTGACATAATCCCAACCACGAGCAAACATCCGATGACCCCTAGCAACATCACCTTCTTCATCTCTCTATTAGCTTCAGCCAACACATCTTCAACCCTATCAAATATATCTTTCTCAAGCTTATCAAAAATCATCCTCTCAGTTGACTTTAACTTTTGCAACACGTGCTCAAGCCTTGAATTTTTCAACTGCAGTTTTTCAATCTCATCTAACAGAGCCTCATCAACCCATTTGAAGTTGTGATTATCATTGATAAGCTACAAAGTGGAATTCAGACCATCATCATCAATAAGAACCAATTTTGTTAAAAACAACATCACAACAATAGAAGATTCATTCACCATATTACCTTCTTCGATGCAGCATAAGCACAACGGTAGTAACGCCGGTAAAGATTGTGGTCGGATTTTGAAATCAATGACACATTTTGATCACCACACCAACACTTCTTCGAAACTCCCACAATTCTTCTTGTAAGACCGCAAGATGATCCACTCGAAGCTCCTGAAACATTGCTTGATGCTCCAGAACAATCGATTTTCCAGAATCGATTTTAGGGTTCTTCATGTATTCTTCAAATTGGAGATTTTCGGACCAAATCGGGGAGTTAAATGCTGTCATACGGGTCGGGTTCAAGTCGGGTTTTCTTTCGTTTGGGTTGGGTTTTTTTGGTTTAGTTTTGCTGATTAATGGTTTAACTCTTGGGTTTAGATCGTAAATCGTCACAAACCGTGAAAACCAACACCAATGTGGAAATAGGATTCGAACTTATGCTTCGTGTGGACATAGATCTTTAACTTTCAAAGGATGGATATATAGAACGAGGTCATAGTTCCGTGTGGATCTGGTGCTATATGATAGTTCCCATGGGAAAATAGATCGTCAACCAAACAAAAGTTTGGTTTCGGTTCGGCTATAATAAATTTCAGCTCGGTTCATGCTTCCAAAAGACCAAAACTATCGTCGAATGGAACCAAATTTGTTTGTTAAAATCGGTTTATTCGGTTTACTCCACCGAATCTGTTTGTACTGAAGTGAATCCTAAAGCTTGGTAACGGACCTCTGGTTGTATTTTGCTGTGTGTTTGGTGTAGGAAGTAAATTTAGAGGAGACAAATATTGCAATGTAAGAAAAATATTTGAGATACGGAAAAACGTTTTGTAAAAGCGGATTAAGGAAAAACAAGAAGTGGAGGCGAGATGATCTCTTTCCTTAATTCAAAAGATCTCCCGCAGTGTGGCGGTTAGATGAGATAATGAATCCCAGGATACAACCACTGATATTCGAATAATCACATCACTCGATTATAGAATGTGACGAACTAGAAATCTACGATATACTCTCGGATGCTTACTTTTGAAAGAAGAAACATTCTTATTAATTTAACTGGTAGAAGATACATCATTTTTGAGGACAGTCATTACACACATTTTGATTAAGTCCTCCTTAACATAACCTTTCCCAATAAAAACCCCATGTTTCCTTAAAATCAGCTGGTTAGATCCAATGCGGACGTCGAATCCGTGCTTGTTGATCATGGTTCCAGAGATCAGGTTTTTCCTCATTTTTGGCACATGCTTCACATTGGTGAGGGTGACTTCTTTGCCCAAAGTCATCTTTAAAACCACATTGCCTATGCCTTCAATCTTGGAGTAGGACTCATTTCCCATCAACAAGTGTGCATTGTTCTTGCATTTCTTGTAGGTTGAGAACTGGTCTTTGTCCATGCAGATGTGAGTGGTTGCACCAGTGTCATACCACCACGTTTTTGGGTTTAGCTCAACCATGTTGACTTCTGTGACCATTGCACACAGATCAGCTTGAGTCAAGTTGGCTTGGCTTTTGTTGTCCCTCAGCTTGCTTCGACATTCATTGGAGGTGTGTCCCTTCTTGTTGCAATATGTGCACTTCCCAACAAATTTGGTTTTGGGAGTTTCCTTTTTGAAGGAAGTGGATGATGATGGAGCAAACTTGTTTTGCCTTCCTTTGCGAGGAAATTTCCCGTTGCCTTTGACTTTCCCTTTTTCCTTGTTCTTGAACTCTGCTACATTTGCATTGTAGGAGTGAAATGGTTCAGGGTTGACAGGCACGGCAGCTTTTACCTCGCGTTTCAAAGACTCATTTTGCAGTCTGGAAATCAGATTTGACAAGGTCATAGACTTCTGCTTATGATCCAGATAATTTCTAAAGTCTACCCAGCTAGGAGGTAGCTTGTCGACAAAGCAATTCACGATGAAAGTTTCACAGATCTTCATTTCTTCATCAGCGATTTCTTGACAAATCATCTGAAGTTCATGGACTTGTTCCATGATGGGCCTTGAGTCCACCATCATGTACCTCGTAAATGTGGAGGTTGCATACCTTCCAGAGGATACATTGAAAGTCTTGTACTTCTTATCCAAACTTTCCCAGAGATCCTTGGATGACTTGATTTCGCAATACACGTTGAACAATTGGTCAACCAAGCGATTCTGAATGTAGCCTTTGCAAAGGAAGTCCCAGTGGACCCATGT